TTTGCTTTCAGAGAAACCTAGAATTTTCATTGGGAATTTCCCATAAATCTAAGTCCCATAAGTCTTATTTGTGCTAATGACACATGGGAGTAGATTTGTCCTTAGATCAAAAACTTCAGAATTTCAAACCTCTACAATTGAGATTATGAAGTCCAGCTTCTTCATTCACAGGAAGGAAACTGAGATCTAGACCCTCGATACTGAAACTTGCCCAGTTATATATGGCCAGAGATAAACTTGGAGCTGGACCCCAGCAACTTGATGCTCATCAGAGTGCTTATTATGGACTCCCAGATCTGTTCCTAGACCTTTTCCTATCTGCAATGTCAGCTTTATGACCTGCATTGGACATACAAATTCCTTAAGGAACAGAAAACCTCCTGAGAAATGAAAATGTGCATGTGTGTCAATGTCTTTATAATTAAAAATGAAGGTTTGGGCTAGGTTTTTCTTCTCTAAAACCCATTTTTCTGGCACTGAGGTTTCCATACCTCCCCCAAGCCCTTAAAACACCATGTTGACACCCTGCCCTGACCCCTGTCTCTTTATTGGTTCATCTTATCACTCTGACTCTGTCTCATTCACTCAACTCTCAATCCTGGCAGGTGCCATCACATCTCGAGTAACAGATAATACGTCCAACGTGTGTGAGTCTCTGAGCGAGAAACTGAGTCTCCTGATGTGGTACCTGGTACGAGGGCTGTGTCTCTTGGGGTTCATGCTCTGGGGGTCACTGTCCCTCACCATGGTCACCCTGGCCTTCCTGCCTGTGCTTATCCTTCTGCCTGCGAAGATGGGAGAACTGTACAAGGTATGTCCAAAGGAGTTGGGCCGCCCACAATGGATCTTCATCTCCCAGATTTAGACTCAGTTCCTCTCTGATTGTTTTCAGCATGACTTTCCTCCACCCTCACTGGTTGTCCATTACCATGGAGCTTCTAGTCCCTGTAATGTTCTTAGATTGCCTGTCGTTTGATCTCTATATTGTATCCAAACTTTAGTCCACATCCTAACCTTAAGCATATGATCACCAACTAATTTGGAGTCATTTTTCTCTTCCTCGCTTCTCTTTAGTGACTGGTAATATAGCAAGCTCTTTTTTTTTTCTCTTGTCCACCTACTCTTCTTGACTTTAATTTCAAACCTGAATTTGAGTGCTTCTTGTGGTTTGCTAGCTCCGGGTGACATCCTTTGTTTGTCTCCACAGTCAGTGGAAGTACAGAAGCGGAAAGTTCTGGCAGAGGCAAGCCAAGTAGCCATTGAGGCCCTATCAGCTATGCCTACAGTGCGGAGCTTTGCCAATGAGGAGGGAGAGGCCCAGAAGTTTAGGAATAAACTGGAAGAACTGAAGACACTCAGCCAGAAGGAGGCCCTGGGCCTTGTAGCCAACGTCTGGACCACCAGTGTGAGTATCAAGAGACAAATGCCTATTCCTTTGTCCCTAAGATGCCTTGATTCTGTTCCATTTCCCAACTCTGTGTTCCATTTCTCCTCCACTGGAGAATGGTCAGTTCCATGTTTTCTTCCTAGCAACCTGACGGTCAGTTACTCAGTGTTCCTAGCCCACTTACCCTTTGTAGAGATGCTAAGCTTTTTCCTCTCACTGTAAGTACATGTGATCCCACAGCTATGTATTAGAGAGATGCTATGTCTCTCAGTCCTAGGAGACTCCCTTTGTCTCTCTGGGGAAGCTCAGAGAACCATAATATTTCTGTCAGTGTTTGCTTCAAGCTAGTACAGGGTGGACATGATAGAGCTAGGAAGGAGGGTGTCTGCAATGTAGTCAAAAAGAACTGAGCCAAAGCCGGGCGCTGGTGGCTCACGCCTGTAATCCTAGCTACTCAGGAGGCTGAGATCTGAGGATCGTGGTTCAAAGCCAGCCCGGGCAGGAGAGACCGTGAGACTCCTATCTCCAATAAACCACCAGAAAACCGGAAGTGGCGCTGTAGCTCAAGTGGTAGAGCGCTCGCCTTGAGCTGAAGAGCTGAGGGACAGCGCCCAGGCCCAGTATCAACATGATTAGAATTTTTAATTCCTATTAAAAAAAGAACTGAGCCAGCAATACCTTTTCTGAGATTGTTGTCTCATTAAAAGAAGCAATGATAAAATTTCTCTTACAGAGGCTATTAATATGCATATTACCTAATAGCCTATTTGTGAAAGCCTTTGGTAAAGAGAAAAATGCTCCCTACACAGAGTGACAATGGTGATGGTGATGAAGATAAGATTCTGTGGCCTTCCAATATCGTGTGAATTACACCTTGTGGGTCTCTATGGTCCATTGGTTCATTCTGAGACTTGAGCTTCTACTGATTTTATGGAGAAAGGGACTATGTAGCTGGGTACTGGTGGCTCGTGCCTGTAATCCTAGCTTCTTAAGAGGCTGAGATCTGAGGATCAAAGTTGAAAGTCCGCCAGGGCAGAAAAGCCCAGGAAACTCTTATCTCCAATTAGCCACCAGAAAACCAGAGGTGGCTCAAAGCGGCAGAGCACTAGAGCCCAGGCTCTGAGTTCAAGCCTCACAGCCAACAAGAAGAAGAAAAGGCAGGGGGAGTTTAAATCTCTGGGATAATCATGCTGCCTTGTGTCCTTCTGACTTTTCTACCATGATTCCTTTCACCTGTGGTCTCTCTACAGATCTCAGGGATGCTGCTGAAAGTGGGCATTCTGTACCTCGGCGGGAAGCTGGTGACAAGAGGGGCTCTAAGCAGTGGGAGCCTTGTCACATTTGTTCTCTACCAGATCCAGTTCACTACAGCTGTGGAGGTGAGGTCCTTGCAATTTCACCCGGCAGTGTTGTCTCTAACCTCTTCCTTCGCCACCTGTGCCCTTCGCTCTTGAATTATACATGCTGCCTAACAGGTTAGGTCTCCCCACCTGACTCGCATTATTATATCACACTTCCAGGTACTGCTGAACTACTACCCCGAGGTCCAGAAGGCTGTGGGCTCCTCAGAAGAAGTATTTGAGTACCTGGACCGAACGCCTCGCTGCCTGCCCAGTGGTTTGTTGTCCCCCTTAGACATTCAGGGCCTTGTCCAGTTCCAAGATGTCTCCTTTGCTTATTCAAGCTGTCCGGATGTCCCAGTACTGCAGGTACAGCCTACCAGCCCCAATATCCTACCCATCTCCACCCTAAAGTTTCTTCCAGTTATTAGCCTGCTTAGTACCAAACTCTGGTCCTTCCTAACCCTTCAAATGCAATGAATAGCATGGTTTGTCTTAGAAGTCATCCCCCACCCCAATCAGCCAAGAATTGTCATAGTGAAACCTGTTCGCAATCCTTCCTTCCTTCCTTTCCTTCTTTCCTTCCTTCCTTCTTTCTCTTTTTCCTTCTCCTTCTCTGTCTCTTCCTCCCTCCCTTCCTTCCTTCCTTCCTTTCTTCCTTCCTCCCTCCTTCCCCCTCCCTACCTCCTTTCCTCTCTCCCTCTTTCCTTCCTTCCTTCCTTTTTTCCTTCCTTCCCTCCTTCCTTTCCTGTGGCAGTCCTCAGGTTTGAATTCTGGGCCTGGACACTGTCCCTGAGCTTTTGTGCTCAAAGCTAGCACTCTACCACTTGAGCCACAATTCTACTTCTGGCTTTTTGTTGGTTAATTGGAAATGAGTCTCCCAGACTTTCCTGCCTGGCTTCAAATCTTGATCCTCAGTTCTCAGCCTCCTAAGTAGCTAGGATGACAGGCAGGAGCCAGTGGTGCTTGGCTCCTTTTGTGACACCCCTCTCCCACGCTTCCTGCTAGAAAGCCTCCTGTGTATATGGTAGAGTTATGCTTCATTTTGCCCTTATCTTTGCTACATCTTCTTCTTCTTCTTCTTTTTTGTTTGCTACATCTTCTTTCCATCTCCTCCTTGGGAGGAATCATCCCAGAAATCTGTGCACAGAAGTAGGAATAGCTGTATTTCCCCATTTGCCTCCATTTTCCTCTGGAAAAAAAAAAAGAGAAACAGTATAATGACACAATGATACTGTCAAGGTCAAGGGACTAATCACCACTTATTGGGTGATTCTCTACTCCCCAGGGGCTGACATTCACCCTGCGTCCTGGGGAGGTGACAGCGCTGGTGGGACCCAATGGGTCTGGGAAGAGCACCGTGGCTGCCCTGCTGCAGAACCTGTACCAGCCCACCCGGGGGCAGGTGCTGCTGGATGGAGAGCCCATCTCCGAGTATGAGCACCGCTACCTGCACAGACAAGTAAGCACGAAGGCGGCATGGAGAAGGGGAGGAGCATTGAATGAGAAGAACATTCTCCTTGAGCACACTGAAAGAGAATTGGGGAGGGGGAGGGCATTGGGTAGAGAGGGAGGTTTGGTTGAGAGAAGACATACTCTCTGTTTTCAGTCTTCAATCTCGAGAGCACCATTCTCCTGAGGCCTTCATTCTGTGACACTCCATCATATTTCATCTCAGATAGCTGCTGTGGGACAAGAGCCACAACTGTTTGGCAGAAGTGTGCGAGAGAATATTGCTTATGGCCTGATCGAGAAACCACCTCTGGAGGAAATCATGGCGGCTGCACTGGAGTCTGGCGCCCATCATTTCATCTGTAGACTCCCTCAGGGTTACGACACAGGTACTTGGCCATCTCCCCTCTGGACATCTTTACTGAAAACCCAATAATCTTGACTCTACTCCAGAGTTCTTCCTGCACCAATTTCAAAGTGTAGGATCTTGCTTCTTTATCTTCACATTGAAGAGCAGGACCAACCTTCCCAGAATTCCCCTCTCTCATTGCATCTATCAGACTTTGATGTGTGTGTGTGTGTGTGTGTGTGTGTGTGTGAGTGTGTGTGTGAGTGTGTGTGAGTGTGAGTGTGTGTGCGCACATGTAGCTATACGGCTCTCACCTGGGTGCTTCTCTCTGCAGAGGCAGGTGAGGATGGAAGCCAGCTGTCGGGAGGGCAGCGACAGGCAGTGGCCGTGGCCCGAGCACTGATCCGGAAGCCTTGTGTACTCATCCTGGATGATGCCACCAGTGCTCTGGATGCTGATAGCCGGTTACGGGTGAGAAAACCATCTCTTTCAGCAGTAAGGAGGCTTGCACTCAGTACTTTGAGCTTGCTAGGAAGGTGCTTCACCTCCTGAACCATACCCTAGCTTTTTGCTTTAGTTATTTCTTTCAGGTAGGACCTTGGAAACGATCCTCCTATGTAGGCCCTCCTTTACATTTTGCTTGGGTTGGCCTTGAAAGTTGATTCTCCTAATCTCCACTTCCTGAATAGCCAGGATTCCAGGTGTGTGCTACCATGCCCAGCAAGAGAGCCATCTTTTTAATGCATAGGCCTCACTGCCTCTCATCTCCTTTATTAAATTATATCAACATGATTAGAATTTTTAATTCCTATTAACTATCTATAGATACTGAATCTTTTAAGACCAAACATAAAGAAAATGCCACCCTAATAATATTAACCAGGTTGTACTATGTGTTTGATCTGCTACTAAGCCCTTTACATGTCGTGTGTAACTCAATTTATTCATCATGAGGCCTAATGGGTTGAGCATCACTATCCTTACTGTATGGATGACTGTATAGAAACTAAGAGATATTATATCACCCACTCAAGGTCACACAAGTGTTGAGTAGTACACCCTGGACCCAATTCAGATCTATATGACTTGAATGTGCATGCTCTTTATCACTAAACTAGATTTTCTAAAGTTCTACTATAAAAATTTCCAGTCCACAGGTAGAGAGGAGAGACGTCAACACCCTTCATACTTCTTTTATAGGCTTCACCATAGACTCCAACAACTGTGTGTGTGTGTGTGTGTGTGTATGTATGTGAACTCAGAGCCTGAGTGCTATTCCTTAGCTTTTTGCTCAAGGCTGGGCACACCTCCATTTTTGGTGATTAATTGGAGTACGTCTCTCTCAGATTTATCTGACTAGGATAGTTTTAAGCCTCAATCCTAAAATCTCAGCTTCTTGGGTAGCTAGGATTATAGGCTTGAACTACCAGCCCCTGGCTAGGACTACGATTTTTATCTCAGTTGCGCCACCCATTTTATCCCATTTGCACTAACTGTGTGTGTGTGTGTGTGTGTGTGTGTGTGTGTGTCTGTCTGTCTGTCTGTCTTTCTGTCTGTCTCCTCAGGTCCAGCAGCTCCTGTACACAAGCCCTACACGGCACTCTCGCTCTGTGCTTCTCATCACCCAGCATCTCAGCTTGGTGGAGCAGGCTGACCACATCCTCTTTCTGAAAGGAGGTGCCATCTGTGAGCAGGGCACCCACCAGCAGCTCATGGAGAAGAGGGGATTGTACCGGGCCATGGTGGAGGCTTCTGCAGCTGCTCCAGAGTGAAAGACTTTCTGAACCTGCACCCTACCTTTCCCTCCACTTTCTTCTGCTCTCTGTGATGGATTTGGGAGGGAAGGTCTTAGTAGACCTGCAGGGTAGGCAGCTGTGGGGAGGAGTCGTCGTCCAAATGCAACTCCCTAGAAGGTGCCTAACGTTTGCCACTAGTATTACTTCCTCTCCAAGTGCTACTGCTCCCCCTGGTTTCCTGCCGGTACTTGGGCTTGATCTCAGGGCCTTGATTTTTTTTTCCTCTCAAGGTTAGTGCTGTATCACTTGAGTCACAGTTCCAGTTTGATTTTTGTTTTGTTTTGTTTTTGCTTGTTAATTGGAAGAGTTTCATGAATTTTTCTTGCCTAGAATGATATCAAATTGGGATCCTCAGATCTCCAGTCCCAAAGTCACCCACTGGTGTCTTGACACCACAGACTTCCAAGAAAGACAAGCATAATTCCAAATGCCTTTATGTAACTGGTAGATGCTTCGGTGAAAATTTGGATGAAATGTTCAGAATACACAGAAAGGGAAGACCAGCTACTTTTAGTATGACCAAAGGCCTTTGGCATATGGCCCCTACATAGGCTGTAGGTTCTTGATATTTATAATAAAAATGGTGTTTTGTTCTGTGGTGTCCCTGTCTCTGACTCTCCCAAAGGGCTCGCTTTGTTTCGTGGTGAAAGACTCAGACTATGTTCCTCTTCAAGGCGCCAACAGCTGCGCAGGGACCTTGCAGTGCAAGATGGAAGGTAGACAGGCCAACAGCCAGGCACACGTCTCCATCTTGCTTGCTCAGATCTTTTCTGAAGGACTCACACGACTCCCTCCCTATAGGCACCCGCCATCCCCCAACTCTCCCCACCCCCGCGAAAAACAAACCAACCCCAAAACACCCCTCCCCAAAAAAAACACCATACAAAACCCACAACCTTAGGGAAGTAGGTAGGATTATCTGGCCAATCTCTGCCATTGGGGGAGGAGCAAGGATATGTGACGTCAACAGTTGCTGAGCAGAAGAGGCCAACACAGGTTGCAAAGAGGGGCGGGACTTAGCCGCGCGGTTGTTCAGCCCAGCCGGAGACCAGGTGGAGAGGGGCGCAGCGCCAGGGCACGTTCTCCCGGGTGGCTGCGGGTCGGGGTGACTGCGGGACCATCAGGTCCCTACCGAGGCCCGTACGGGAAGATTCTGAGATGTTGTCCTGTCCTTCGCTCCTTTCTCCACACTTGGGGTTTATTCTTTTCCAGTTGCCCCAAAACCTGTCCCTTAAGACGCAGCCTCCATGGACCATTTTTATATAGGAACGATGCCCGTGGGACACCGCCCCTGTCCCCAGCACGCAGGGCTGCCTGAAGCTGCGCCCTGCCTCCTGCAGCCTTTCTGGTTCGGGTGATGCGACCCCACTGTCGCCTTGTCTTCCTGGAAGGCGCTGGCGCGCTCCCTGGACGATCCATCACCTACCCACCACGCACCGTCCCCAGGATGGCACCCCGCCTCATTGTCCCCAAGATGGCACCCCCCCGCCTCATTGTCCCCAGGATGGCACCCGCCTCATTGTCCCCAAGATGGCCCCCCCTCCTCCCCCCCCCGCCCCCGGGCCTCTTCTCGGAAAGGGCCGGGGACGTGGAAGACGCCCCGGTTCCCTCCCCTCGGTGCCGGGCTTTCGCTTTCACTTCCTGCTTGGAGAGCCCACGGATCCCCGGGGGTGTGCGCTGAGCGGTCATGGCCCTGCTGGACGTGTGCGGAGCCCCCCGAGGGCAGGGGGCGGAAAGCAGGCATCGCTCGGACCTGGGACACTTCAGCTTCTCAGTGCGCGCTCCCGAGCTCGCCCTCCCCCGGGGAACGCAGGTGAAGGGCGCCGGCGGGCGGAGGGCAGAGGGAGGGAGGCAGCCCGAGGCTGCCCTGCCCAAGTGGGGAACCGTGGTGGCAGAGGGGGCTCTCCTTCGGTACGGGAACCGCCTGGGGAGGAGCCACGTGGGGCTGGGGGGCTGAGGGGCAGTGCAGACTTGGGCAGAGTCCAAGGTGAAGGTGGGGTGCTTTTATCCCCATGGGGTATCTGTCCGGGGGGGGGGGCGCAGGAGCTACACGGTGTCTTGGAAGAGCTATGAACCTGCCCCAGCAATTGCCTGTCCTAGAGCAAGAGTCGCTGCCTGGCTCTCTTGTTCTCTTCTGCAGGATGAGGGAGGATATATTCGTAAAACATGTTTTGTGAGAATTAAAAGGAATCATGGGTCGGAAAAACTCTTAAAATGATCCTTAAGACTTTTTCTCTCCCTCCCCGCTCCACTTTCTTTCTTCTTCCTCCTCTTCCACCTCCTTTTTTTCCCTTCTGGTTCTGGGGCTGAACTCAGGGCTTGGGTGCTGCCTGGGCCCTGTGTATCCATTAGCTTCTTTGCTCGAGGCTGGTGCTCTACTACTTGAGCCGCAGCTCCACTTCCAGCTTTATGCTGCTTAATTGGAGATTTAAAAAAATCGTACAGACTTTCCTTACCCAGGGTAAGTTTAAAACTCAATTTTCACCTCTCAGACTACTGAGTAACTAGGATTACAGGTATGAGCCACTGGAGGCCAGCAAGACGTCCATTTCTGTTGTGCGGGGAAAATGGAAATGGTTGGTGCAGGTGCATTTTCTTTTCCTTTCCTTTTCCCAAACCATTTCCTTCTGGAGATGATTAATTATTAATTAATTTAGTATTGATGATTAACTGTTCCATTTGTTAATGGGTAGAAAATCTGGGCATCTGCATACTCTTTAAAACCCTTTAAAAACCTGCTCCTGGAGCACCTGCTCCAGGAGCCTTCACTGTCCCTTCCTTCTCTTCTCTTTCATTATTAGCCCACCGCATTCTTGAAGTCTCTGAGTGGGGATGGAGAAAGCCATGTTCAGATCGCAATGGCTCATGGGACAACCACACTGGCCTTCAAGTTCCAGCATGGAGTGATTGTAGCGGTGGACTCCCGGGCCTCGGCGGGGAGTTACATTGGTGAGTGTGTGCACCAGGAGGCAGAATCTGGGGCGCTAGGCCCTCCTCTCAGCAGAGGCCCAACATCTACACCAAAGCCCAAGCAAGAGCACATGGGGGGAACCATGGGGCCCTTTCTTCTTGAACTGGTGGCTCACATCTGTCATCCTACCTACTCATGAAGCTGAGTTCTGAGGATCACAGTTCAAAGACAGCTAAGGTAGGAAAGCCCACAAGATGCTTGTTTTCAATTGATTACCTAAAAGCCAGAAGTGGAGGTGTGACTCAAGTGGTATAGTTAAAAAAAAAAAGCTAAGGGGCAGGGCTCAGGGCCTGAGTTCAAGTCCCGGTACACACAACAACAACAAAAACAACAACAACAACAACAACAAAACCCCTCTTCTTGCAGCCACCTTGCGGGTGAACAAGGTGATAGAGATTAACCCTTACTTGCTTGGCACCATGTCTGGCTGTGCGGCCGACTGTCAGTACTGGGAGCGCCTGTTGGCCAAGGAATGCAGGTAAGCCAGGTCACTTTTCTTATTTTTCAGACTCGGAGTTGTTGCTTGGATTGTCCTAGTCACGGCTCCTCTCCTTTGCCCCTTATATCTTAGTGTTACCAAGGCATTTAACAGAATAGCCTTTAGAGGATCAGAAAGCTGTTTCCAAATCTTAGTCTTGGCTCCTGCCTAGGAGCGAAATCATTTATCCATTATAAAGCATGGGCACTATCAGCCCTGGTGGACAGGATTCTTTACTGGGTTTTCTCTGGGTGGTTTAGCTACTTGAAACCCCAAGTCTTTCCCTGTTCTTAGGCCCTACCCAAACAATTCCTTCCCAGTGTGTCTCCTGCAACATCCAATTTCTCCCTCCTCCTGTCTCCTCCCCCCCTTCCCCCAGGCTGTACTACCTGCGAAATGGCGAACGCATCTCTGTGTCAGCAGCTTCCAAATTGCTCTCCAATATGATGTGCCAATACCGGGGCATGGGTCTCTCCATGGGCAGCATGATCTGTGGCTGGGATAAGAAGGTGGGTTCTCCCCACTCCGCACGCCCCTCCAAGCGTGGATGAAAGATCTCTTCCCATCTCCCCTTCCTACTCCATCCCTACAAGATACGGTGCATAACAGAGCTGTGGAACTGTCCCAGTGTAACCACTGGCTACTTCTTGATCCAGATGTGGGTGCTAAGTGCATCCCTTGTTGAAGTAGATGACTTCAAGTGTAGTTTTCCTCTGGTCATTTCTCTCTCTGCGTTTTAGGGCTCACACTCGAATCTCTATGCTACCAACACGTCTCTTTCCAACTCAGAACCTTTCTTCTAGGGTCTTCTAACCTTCTAAGGTCTTCTAACCTTTCTAGGGTCCAGGACTCTATTATGTGGATGAAGATGGGACTCGGCTCTCAGGACGTATGTTTTCCACTGGTAGTGGGAACACTTACGCCTATGGGGTCTTGGACAGTGGCTATCGGCCAGATATGACTCCTGAAGAGGCCTATGACCTTGGACGAAGGGCTATTGTTCATGCCACCCACCGAGACAGCTATTCTGGAGGCGTTGTCAATAGTAAGAGACCAAAGCTCCGACCACCAGGCCTGGGAGAAGGGAGGGAGCATTCAGACAAGGAGACTCTGTGGAGGCTGAGTGGCAGGGAGGAACTTTTCAGGGTCAGGAGGACATCTAAAGTCCTTGTAGTAATGAGTTGGGATGTGTGTGTGTGTGTGTGTGTGTGTGTGTGCATGTGAGCACGTGCAGTTGCTTCTATCAGTGTAACACCATTAGCATAAGATGGAGGTGGAGAAGGTGACCAGATGCTCTGTTTTATTTTATTTTGGGGGGACTAGTCCTGAGGCTGGAACTTCAGACCTTGTGGTCTCATGTGGCTTTTTCACTCAAAACTGGTTGGCACTCTATGATTTGAGCCACACCCCCACTTCCAGCTTTTTGGTAGTTAACTGAAGATAAGAGTCTCACAGACTTTCCTTCGCAGGCTGGCTTTGAACTGCAACCTTCAGATCTCAGCCTCCTGAGTAGCTAGGATTACAGACATATCCACCAGTGCCCAGCTGACTCTGTTTTTGGTTTGTTTGTTTGTTTTTTGCTCATCCCCCACAGTGTACCACATGAAGGAAGATGGCTGGGTGAAAGTGGAAAGTTCAGATGTCAGTGACTTGATGCACCAGTACCTGGAGGCCAATGAGCGGTGGCAGTGAGGGCTGGGCGGAGCCTCCTCCAGTGGATGGAGCCAACTCAGGGACCTGGGCCAACCCAGTCCCAGGTCAAGAAGAGGCTTAACCCCAGACATGTTGAGATCGGGCTTGGTGACTGGTGGGGCGGCCTGAGTTCATCATTTGTGTCCTCTCAATTTCATTGAGCATCTTCTGCCCGCTAAGAGCTTACAGGGTGGGGGATGCCTAAATACAATAAAGGAAAACGGTTATAAACACCTGTGTGCTGTGGCTGGGGTGGGGTTGTGGGCTTGCTTTCTTTCTTTCTCTTTTGGTGTGGGGGAGGGACAGGAAATCAAGAGTCTTTTCCTGGGAAGGGACTCAAATGCCCAAAGAAACAGGGTCTCACTAAAATATTTCTTCCTGGCATTCCACATTCATCTCCCTAAGTCGACAAGAAGACTGAGCAGCTTTCTCTTGGGACACTGGTTTGAATTTCTTTTAGCCTCCCTAGGGTTTTTTCTTTTTTTCTTGTTTGGTCATGGGGCCTGAACTCTGGGCCTGGGCGCTGTCCCTCAGCTCTTCAGCTTGAGGCTAACACTACCACTTGAGCCACAGCACCACTTCCAGCTTTTTCTGCTTACGTGGTGCTGAGGAATCAAACTCAGGGTCTCAAGCATGCAAGGCAAGCACTCTACCACTGAGCCACCTTCCAGCCCATAGGGTCCTTTCTAAAAATATCCAATCTGGAGATCCCCAGGTGGTCTCTCGTAGATAGTCTGGGTGACTCGGAGTAGAATATCCTAAAACACCTGCTTTGGACTTTGGAGAGTAGGGAAAAAAAAGTTCTTAGCTCATGCAAGCTTCTTAGCATTTACTCTAAATAACACCTTTGAGATGTTGGCTACTGAACATAAAGATATACATAAGGGTTCAATTTCATGGTGTGACAAATCTGATTTCAAGAGGACAAGTCATAGGAAGAGGAAATACAAAGGACTCTGAAGTGGGGGGATATGAGGAAGAAGTAAGTTTCAGGTTAGAAAAAAGAAACAGGAAAACAATGAAATTCTTGGCTCACTCAGGGCTACAGGAAAGAGTACGAAGGGAGTCCCCTCTCAAGGAGAGTTAGTTGAGGCAGACTCTCAAAGGTAAAAGCAGCAGAGTGGGAAGGATCTCTCTCAGGAGGAAGAGATCATTTTAAGAACAAATAGAATAGGGAGTGATCCTTGACTTCACACACCCTTCCCTTTAATTACCTTAAACATTAACTGACTCATTGATAATCACACTAATAATCTCTCATATCAATTCCAAATGATTGCTCTTTTGGGGATATATTTCTTTCTCTTCCTCCTCTCCCTCCATCCCTCCCTCTCCTCCTCCTCCTCCTCCTTCTCCTCCTCCTTCTCCTCCTTTCCTCCTTTCTTCTTCTGTAGTTTTAATGTTCAGGGTCATTTCTGGAAGTGATGCTATGGCCCAGACATATTGACATGCTGCTGTGTGTTGGCCAATGCAGAGGATCAAACCCCTGACTTCACACGTGCTAGGCAAGCTATTGACCACAGAGTCAGATCACTTAAAAGAGTCAATAAACCAATCTGCAGGTTGTTTGGATAGCTGTGAGTGAGGCAGAATGGGGAGAAACCTGATTGTTGTTCTAATCAGTAATAAAAAGTAGGCCAGCCAGTAATCCTAGTTACTCACGCAGCTCAGATCTGAGGATGGAGGTTCAAAGCCAGGCTGGGCAGGAAAATTCCTAAGACTCTCATCTCCAATTAATCAGCAAACCCCCAGAAGTGGGGCTGGGGTTCAAGTGATAGAGCATCAACCTTGAGTGAAAAACCTCGGGGAAAGCGCCCGGGCCCTGAGCTCAAGCCCCAGTACTGTCAACAGAAAAAGCACAAACGTACTGAATTTTCACCAGATGTTTAATGGAGGACATATGCGGACCAAAGATTAGAGACCCCTAAATTCCAAATTTCGAAATGCAAATCCCTTGAAACCTGTAAGAATGGCTAGAACCTCTAGCGGTTCTGCTTTACAAAGTATCTCAAGTCCTAGAAACAGTTTTTTGCATGTAACAAAGTAACCGCCACCCGGGAGACTTGCGATGGTGCGGGGGAAGGCGAGGGATCCGCGGTCTGCAGGCCTGGGGCGTCCCCTGCTGGCCACCGCGCAGAATGCAGGTCTGGGCTGGGAAGCGAAAGCGAAAGCCCCGACGTGCCCGGCGCGGGGCTTCCCAGCGGACCCCATTGGGACCTGCATTGAGATCGCATTTCTGACTCAGCGCCCTACATCCATCGGAAAGCCTGCGGTGCTGCTGCACCGCCGCGGCGGGTGAGTTCTTGCGGTAAAAACCCGGAGCCCATCCCATCACGCCCCGCATGGGGATGTGTCTTTTGGATTCCAGGAAGTGGAAGGAGCGGGGCTGGGACCCCTTGGCTGCCCGGAGGTGGGTGGCGGTGGGCGGGGAGGGCGGGACTCGAGATGCCGTTACTCTTTACTTCTTGGGCGGGTGCAGGATCTCCAGGATCCTAGGTAAGACACAGGCTGGATGCCAGCTGCCCTGGGAGATCTTTCTGTGTGGGACTGGAAACTGAGCGGCCTGTGGCTGATCGAGAGGATCAGGATCAGGATCCACCTTTTATCTGATTTTTCACCTTCTCCCCATAGATCCCCCGCTCCACGATGCTGCCTGACCCGAGGCCCTGGGCCTCCCTGCTGCTGGCGGACCTGGCCTTCCTTTGGCTCCTTCAGGGCACTGTCGGGGCGCTGCTCCCCCGAGGGCTTCCAGGACTATGGCTGGAGGGGATCCTGCGACTCGGAGGACTGTGGGGACTGCTCCGACTGGCAGGGCTGCTGGGGTGTGTGAGGACCTTGCTGCCCCTGCTGTGTCTGGAGACCCCCGTGTTTCTCTCTCTGCGGGCTCTGGTGGGAGGGGCCTTGAATGCTCCCCCAGTACGCGTGGCCGAGGCCCCTTGGAGCTGGCTGCTGTTGGGTTACGGGTCTGCGGGGCTCAGCTGGGCTCTGTGGGCTGTGCTGAGCCATCCAGAAGGAGCCCAGGAGAGGGATCCAGGCCTGGAGGACAGCAAAGCCCTCGTGTGGAGGCTGCTGAGGCTCGCCAGGCCAGACCTGCCCTACCTCCTGGCCGCCTTCTTCTTCCTCACTATGGCCGTGTTGGGTGAGTGTGAGCAGGAGGTGCGGGGTGGGGGTGGGGAAAGAGGCCTGGTACAAGCGCATTCCTCTACCTTTCATTTCTCTTCCAGGGGAGACATTAATCCCTCACTATTCTGGTCGTGTGATTGACATCCTTGGAGGTGATTTTGACCCTGATACCTTTGCCAGCGCCATCTTTTTCATGTGCTTATTTTCCATTGGGAGGTAGGTGAAGGGCAGCTGGGCCTTTTGCTAGACCCAAGTCTTTTGTTGTTGTTGTTGTCAGTTGTGGGGTCTGAACTCTGGGCCTGGGCACTGTCCCTCAGCTCTTTAGCTCAAGGCTAGCACTCTACCATTTGAGCCACAGCACCACTTCCGGTTTTTGGTGGTTCATTGGAGATGAGTCTCAGAGACTTTCCGGCCCAGCCTGGCATTGCACCGCTCTCCTCAGCCTCCTGAGTAGCTAGGATTTCAGGTATGAGCCACCGGCACCTGGCTTAGACCCAAGTCTTTTCAGGCACACGCATTCTAAAGTTGGGTCTTGTGCAAAACACCAAATGGAAAACAAAAACCTAATACTCGAATACATTTACTCACCATTTTGGTCCATCCATCCATCCATTTCTTCGTCTTCCAATTTTGTCCAACACTCTAAAGGTTTATATGGTTATTATAGATAAGTGGGTGTGTTAAATAGGATGTGTTTGAGTTGCCTCTTGATGTTTTGCCTTGGTGAAATTCCATCTCTCTTTTCTGCCTCCTTCCTCTTACACTTGCGTGTCTCTCTTACACTTGAGTGTGTCTCTCTTGCATTTGCGTGTGTCTCTCTTACACTTGCGTGTGTCTTTCTGACCTCCTGGCAAGTTGGGCCCACTGCTCCCTCTTGGTCCTTCCTTCCTCACTGATTTTTCTAATCTCTGAAGCTGCTAATTGGAGACCAATTCCCCTTTTGTTCCAGCATCTTTAATCTTTTCACGTTCCCTTACTATGCTTCTTTCTAGACATATTTCAGAATCTGTTCTTTTAAACAAATAGGACAAGTAAGCAGACAAACCAACAAACCAATGCTTCTTGGTAGGGCTGAGCCTGGGATGAAATGGGCTAGGTGCAAGGTACACAGAGGGAGCATACTTAGGTACTCACCCACCCCCCTGACTCTAATCCCCGCTGAGCTTCTCATCTCCTCCTCCTCCTCCCCCTTCTCCCTCTCCTCCTCCTCCTTCTCCTTTTATGGTGCCACTCCTGGGGCTTGAACTCAGGGGCCTGGACTCTGTCTTTGAGTTTTGTGGCTCAAAGCTAGCATTCTACCACTTGAGCCAGTTCCACTTCTGGCTCCCCTCTGCCTGCCCCCCCATAAGAGTCTGATAGACTTATTCCCCCCCCCACTCCCCTGGGCTGGCTATGAACTGCACACTCCTTAGATCTCAGCCTCCTGAGTAACTAGGATAATAAACACAAGCCACTGATGCCTGGTTCATCACTTTTTTTTTGTCAGTCATGGGGCTTGAACTCAGGGCAGGGCACTGTCCCTGAGCTTTTCCGCTCAAGGCTTGCACTCTACTACTTTGAGCGACAGCGCCACTTCGAATTTTCTGGTGGTTAAGTGGAGATAAGAGTCTTACAGACTTTCCTGCTCAGGCTGGCTTCAAACCATGATCCTCAGATCTCAGTGTCCTAAGTAGCTAGAATTATAGGCATGAGCCACTGGTGCCAGGCTCATCACTTATTTGTTTATTTTTGTCAGTTGTAGGGCTTGAACTCTGGGCCTGGGTGCTGTCTCTCAGCTCTTCAGCTCAAGGCAAGCGCTCTACCACTAAGCCACCTTCCCAGCCCTCATCACTTATTTTTTCTGATCATATTTAACTTACCATACTCTCAAGAAAACACAACTCAGTCCTTCATTATGTCTTCATCCCATTCTTACTATCATCTGAAACTAATTACTCAAATGTGAACTTAATTGATCAATCCACTTTCCCCTTTCTCTCCAACTGTCACAATTATGCCTTGCATTATTTGACTTCTCAGTAGCATTTGGCATGGGTAAACTTTTTTTTTTTCCAGTTGTGGGGCCTGGGCGCTGTCCCTCAGCTCTTCAGCTCTAGGCTAGTGCTCTACCACTTGAGCCACAGCGCCACTTCCAGTTTTCTGGTGGTTCATTGGAGATAAGAGTCTCCTGGACTTTTCCTGCCTGGGCTGGCTTTGAACCATGATCCTCAGATCTCAACCTCCTGAGTAGCTAGGATTACAGACGGGAACCACCAGTGCCCGGCTGCCTGGGTAAACTCCTTAAAGAAGAAAATTGTTATTGTTTCATTAGGCAGATGATATTTCTTTTTGGACAGTGTCACCCCTTCCTTCACTCTCTCCCAGTTTTCCCCTTCTGTCCCTGCCCACAAGTTGTATTGTTCATTTTCAACAGTGTCTAGTGTGAATACCATTGCTGTTTGTTCACTCTGTCCCTCCATTTCTGTGGGCACTAATAAACTCTTATGACCTTGTTTTGCTTTTATGACCTTTGTTAGCTTTTATGAACTCCCCTTTGACACACTAGTCCTCTCTGCTTCCTTCTGCGAATTTCTCCCTCCGCACAGATAAATATGGGCTTTCCTTGGGACTCTATGGTTTGCTATTTAATACCACTTTTCCTGTTGAGCTGACTCAGTTTATCTCAGCAAATGATTCCCAGATCCATGCTTCCACGCCCAGCACTAGTCTGGTAGACGCAGCTTTCCTATGGCCATTTCTAGGGCAGCTCAGTCACCTCACACACCAGCCATACTCCTGCACCTCCAGACATTCCACACTCCTCTTAGTCTTTATGAAAGTGGATTCCTCTTCCTCTTGCCACCATCAAGTACCCCAGCCACCACCAGGTCTTCCTCATTCTCCAACAGCAGCTCTGCCAGTTCCTAATTTCAAAGTGTCGCACCTGTGATTTAGCTTCTCTACTTTCACTACAGTTACCAAGTCCATGAGTTCATGTCTCAGCCCAACAACTTTTCAATGTGGCAATAAAAATTGTATTAAAGCTCCATTTTGTGTGTGTGTGTGTGTGTGTGTGTGTGTGTGTGTGTGTGTGTGTGTGTGTGTTGGTTGTGGGACTTGAACTCAGGCTTGGGCACTGTCCCTGAACTTTTCTACTCAAAGCTACAGCTCTATTGCTTGGTGTTCTAGTGGTTAATTAGAGATAAGAATCTCAGGGACTTTCCTACCTGAACTAGTTTCAAACCATAACCCTCAGATCTTAGCCTCCTGAGTAGCTAGGATTATAGGCATGCAAAATAACTCTGTGTGTGTGTGTGTGTGTGTGTGTGTGTGTGTGTGCGTGTGTATGTATTGGTTGTGGGACTTGAACTCAGGCTTGGGCACTGTCCCTGAGCTTTTCTACTCAAAGCTAGAGCTCTATCACTTGGTTTTCTAGTAGTTAATTGGAGCTAAGAGTCTCAGGGACTTTCCTACCTGAGCTAGCTTCAAACCATAACCCTCAGATTTTAGCCTCCTGAGTAGCTAGGATTATAGCCATGCAAAATAACCGTGTGTGTGTGTGTGTGTGTGTGTGTGTGTGTGTGTGTTTAAATATTTCCATTAAGTTTTACTGTAAAAATTTGGTTGGTCTAAGTTGAATTTTTCTGTGGTAAAAGACAGTGTCACTGCCTTTAGGGCTGTAGAGAAGGAGAAGGTAGAGTGTTTGGTGTGACAGTTCTCATAATGAAACGCCGGTGAGCGTGGGGAAGGGCCACATCCATGGGAAGGAAAGAAGCCAAAACAGAGCTCAGAAGGGGAAGCAGGTGGGAAGGCCGGGGCAGAAGCAAGCACGGAGCAATTCCTTTTTACCCACTTCTTGTTTATTTCTGAGCTTGTGTCTTCTTTCTCTGTTTTCTCTGTTCCCTCCAACTTTGAATATCTTTTCATTGTGGATTTTCCCCTCTGCTTCACCCACCCACCTCCTCCTCCTCCTCTGCCTTCCCCCCTCCATGCTCTTCTCAATTCCTCCCTTCCCACAGCTCCCTGTCTGCTGGCTGCCGAGGTGGCTCCTTTCTCTTCACCATGTCCAGAATCAACCTCAGGATCCAGGAGCAGCTTTTTTCCTCCCTGCTGCATCAGGACCTCGAGTTCTTCCAGGAGACAAAGACAGGTGGGTCTTAGAGACCTGGAGGACAGATCTGGGATTCTGCTGGTCATTCCTTGTCATTCACTTACCCTGCTGTCTTTATCTATCTGCTACAACCTGGAATTGTCTTTCAGGACAGTGTAAAGGCCCAGCCTCCGCATGTCCCTGCAAATGAGGAAGGGTGCAGAGAGGCAGGCCCAGCCCAGTGGATGGAAAGGAGGGAGTTTCTGTGGGCGCTGCAATGTGCATGGTTTTCTCATTGACTTTGCCCTCCACAGGGGAACTGAACTCAAGACTGAGCTCAGACACTGCCTTGATGAGCAGATGGCTTCCTCTGAATGCCAACGTATTTCTGCGGAACCTGGTGAAGGTGGTGGGGCTGTACGGCTTCATGCTCAGCGTGTCAGCCCGCCTCACCCTCCTCTCACTGCTCGACATGCCTCTTACAATAGCAGCGGAGAAGGTGTACAATGTCCGCCACCAGGTACCCAGGGCTGTTGGGGACCTGAGAGGAAAATAAAATGTAGAGGGGAGGACGGGTCCACCCTCATCACGATAGGATGTGCTCTTTGCAGCCTTTAGAGTATATTGCACTTTTCTTTTCTTTTGCCAGTCCTGAGGCTTGAACTCAGGGCCTGGGCACTGTCTCTAAGCTTCTTTTGCTCTAGGCTAGTATTCTACCACTTGAGCCACAACACCACTTCCTGCTTTTTCTGTGCATGTGGTACTGAGGAATCGAACCCAGGGCTTCATGCTTACTAGGCAAGCACTCTACCACTAAGCCACGTTCCCAGCCTACAGTATATTGCACTTTTACACTGTTGTTTGGCTTACTTGGTCAGCCATGGATGGATATTTCAGAAGGTCTGTGAGCCCTGGGACTGTAAACAAAAATATATACATATATGTGAGTTCTGTGTGTGTGTGTGTGGTATGATGGGGAATGGGGTATTTTTCTGGGGTAGACAATACATTTTCACCAGCTTCTCAAAGGAGCCTGTACATAAAGGACATCGTGGAGGGTTTGAGGCAGAGTATTTCCCTTTATTTAAAATCAGCAGAAGCTGGCTGGAGTGGGGGGAAGAGGGTTGATTACAGTTAGTGCCTTTAAGAACATTCGCATTGCTGTGCATCCATTGCCACCGTCTGTGTCCAGAATGTCTTCCATCTTCCAAAAGTGCAGCCCTGAACCCCTTCAGCTGTCACCTTCCACTCCTTCCCACTCCAGTCCTGGCGACCAACTTTCTGATTTTATGAGACTCTAAGCCTTGCCTATAAGTGAAACTATGCAGTCATTGTCCGTTTGTGACTGGCATATTTCACTTAGCATAATTCAAGGTCCATCCATGCATGTTACAACATGTCAAGATGTCCTTTCTTTCTTTCTTTTCTTTTTTTTTTTTTGGGTCCGGTCGTGAGGCCTGAACTCTAGGCCTGGGCATTGTCCCTCAGCTCTTCAGCTCAAGGCTAGTGCTCTACCATTTGAGCCACAGCACCACTTCCGGCTTTTTTCTTTGTTTATGTGGTGCTGAGGAATCAAACCCAGGGCCTCAGGCATGCAAGGCAAGCGCTCTACCTTCCCAGCCCCAAGATGTCCTTTCTTTCTAAGGCCAAGTAATACATTCATGTCCAATGTCCATTCCAACCTGGAAATGTCTGCTTCCCTGCTTTCTCAGGCTTTGCTTGTGAAGATCCAGGACGAGGCAGCGAAGGCTGGGCAGGTGGTGCGGGAGGCAGTTGGCGGTGTGCAGACGGTGCGCAGTTTCGGAGCAGAGGAGGATGAAGTGTGTCGCTATAAGGAGGCCTTGGAGCGATGCCGGCAGCTGTGGTGGAGAAGGGACCTGGAGCGAGCCTTGTACCTGCTCATCCGGAGGGTGAGAGTGGAGAGAGCCCAGAGACCGGAAGGCCGAGGGCGGAGCTTAAGGCAGGGCTTGTGTTCTTTGCAGAGACTCATTCTCAGCTTGCTTCTTTCTTCTCCCCATGTCAGGTGCTGGGCTTGGGTGTGAAGGTGCTGGTGATGAGCTGCGGGGTGCAGCAGATCCTGGCTGGCGAGATCACCCAGGGCAGCCTGCTCTCCTTTCTGCTTTACCAGGAAGATGTGGGGCACTTTGTACATGTGAGTATGGGGCCTGCAAGTGCTCGCTCCTTATACCTGCTGTTTTCCTGACTGGCCTTAAGGATTTAGTATTTATTTAGTTGAAGCAATTTTTTTTTCTTAAGATTACAGGCTCACGCCTGTCATCCTAGCTACTCAGGAGGCTGAGATCTGTGGATCGCGGTTCAAAGCCAGTCCAGGCAGGAAAGTCCGTGAGACTCTTATCTCCAATAAAAACCAGAAGTAGTGTTGTGGCTCAAGTGGTAGAGTGCTATCCTTGAGCTGAAGAGTGCAGGGACAATGCTCAGGCCCAGAGTTCAAGCCCCACGACCAAAAAAAAGAACAAATTTTGTTATAAAAACATATAATGCTAAAAATTACAATGAATCTCTATAAATCCATTACCTGCTTTAACTGTGATCACTCACAGACCATTGTGTTTTATTTGTGTCCCCATCCACTTCCCCATCAACACCCCCCCCCAATATTATTATGAAGTAACTTTCAGATACCATATAGCAGCTGGGCACTGGTGGCCCATGCCTGTAATCCTAGCTACTCAGGAAGCTGAGATCTGGGGTGGTCACTGTAAAGCAGGTGATGAGTACGCATGGATTGAAGTGTGGAGAATGGCACTACGTACCCTGTTGGCTACACAAGTGTGTTAGGCACACCACCTGCTTTTAAGGTGTTCTGTGTACACAGGGAGTATCAGACAGGAAGGACTCGGTCTGGAAATAGAAGTAATGCCCTGTGTTCTGGGTAGAGACTTCAGATTCCTTCCACTGAAAATGGAACATAGAAGTACTGGTGCCACTTCTAAATTCCACCCCAGCTAAGCCAGATATAGTAGTACACACCTGTAAGCCCAGCACCTTGAAAGCAGAGGAAGATGGTGACTTTGAGATCAGTCTAGGCTACCTAATGAGACCCTGTCTCCAACAATTACAAAAAAAAAATCCCCTCCAAACTGCACGTTGGAAGGCAAGGAAGAATGGGGGTGGGGGGGTGTCAGGAGGAGGACGGCTTGGCTGTGTGCGGAGGGTTGGGGTGCAGGTTCTGGAGGGGCTGTGATCAGCTGACCATCCATTCCTGTTTTGTAGGCGCTGATATACATGTATGGGGATATGCTGAGCAACGTGGGAGCTGCCGAGAAAGTTTTTGGATACCTGGACAGAAAGCCCAATCTGCCCCCAGAGGGGACTCTGGCCCCAGCCGCACTGCGGGGCCAGGTGGAGTTCCGAGATGTCTCCTTTGCCTATCCCAGTCGCCCAGATCAGCCTGTGCTCCAGGTGCCTGAGAAGGGGGGACCCTCCACCCTTTGTTGCTGTTCATGATTAGATTAATCACCACAGCCCGGAGACTAACCTGATCTTGCTTCTTCAAGAAGACAAGGAGGGACGGGGAAGGTGGCTCAGTGGTAGAGTGCTTGCCTAGCATGCATGAAGCCCTGGGTTCGATTCTTCAGTACCATGTATGCAGAAAAAGCCAGAAGTGGTGCTGTGGCTCATGTGGTAGAGCGCTAGCCTTGAGCAAATGAAGCTCAGGTACAGTGCCGGGAAAGAAGACAAGGGGAAGGACCCTCAGGGAGGGGCATTGAGGGAAGAGGGGCACTGGGGGGAGGGGCATCAGGGGGAGGAGCAGGAGGTCCCTGACAGCTTCCCTGGCCTTCCAGGGCCTGACATTCACCCTGCGTCCTGGGGAGGTGACAGCACTGGTGGGACCCAATGGGTCTGGGAAGAGCACCGTGGCTGCCCTGCTGCAGAACCTGTACCAGCCCACCCGGGGGCAGGTGCTGCTGGATGGAGAGCCCATCTCCGAGTATGAGCACCGCTACCTGCACAGGCAGGTAGGTGGGGAGCAAGGGGAGGGCGAGGACAGCGGGTGTCATCACCTAGAGAGGATGCCATCCATGTTAGTGGGAGGGCTAAAAACAAACACTAACACAAGGGTCCACTCTGAGGGAGAGTGAGAGGGAGATGGAACCGGAGCCCCCTGGGGTGGGCACTGCATGCGTCCCCTCTGTCCTCCCCCTCTGGACAGGTGGCTTCGGTGGGGCAGGAGCCCACGCTGTTCTCGGGTTCTGTGAGGGACAACATCACCTATGGGCTGGCGAGCTGTGAGGACGAGCAGGTGCTGGAGGCCGCTCGCGTGGCCAACGCGGACGATTTCATAAAGGAAATGAAGCATGGGATCCACACAGGTGTGTGTCTTACAGATTGGATCGTGAATCTGCTCTTTCAGTCAGCAGAGAAGTAAAACCTATTCCTGGGGTGAAGATTGGGTCCATGAAAGAAACTCTTTCCTGCTCCTCCTTCTGCTTCCCAATGTCTACCCCCCACCCCCGTCATGTACTCATTCTTCAGCTCCTCCCTCCATCTGTGTGTGTGTGTGTGTGTGTGTGTGTGTGTGTGTGTGACTGTTCCCAGGGAGCAATGCAGAAGTGTCTCCTCCACCTGAGAAGTCCCAAGGTCCCCCCCTCATTGTGACCTTCCCTCCCCCCAGATCCCACTACCTCCTGCCGGTCCTAGTGGAAGTAGCCAGGGTGGGGGAGGGGCACAGAGTGTTGTCCTGGTTCCTTGTGTCTGAGGAGGGGAACATCTCTGATTTCCTCAGATGTAGGGGAGAAAGGCAGCCAGTTGGCCGTGGGACAGAAACAACGTCTAGCCGTAGCCCGGGCCCTGGTGCGGGACCCACGGGTCCTGATCCTGGACGAGGCCACCAGTGCCCTAGACGCCCAGTGTGAGCAGGCTGTGAGTACCGGGGTGGGAAGGGCAGGGGGCAGGGGGATGTCCGGCTCCCATTGGACAGCTCAGCCAGTGGGATTGGGCGAGGAGGAGGAATGGCTCATTGGTGGAGAAACACCTGTGCCTTTGTAGGGTTGGGCTTGGAGGAGAATGTGGTGGTGTGGTCCATCCTCGGTTCCTCCATCACTGGCTTTCTGTCCACCAGTGACAGCAGTGCAGCCAAGAGAGGAGGGCTGGGCAAACCCCAGCCTACCTTGCAGTCTCCTCGTGTTTCAAGTTAGGTGCCTGTGTCTCATGCCTGTAATCCCAGCTACTCAGGAGGCTGAGATCTGAGAGCCCTCATAGAGAGCTGACTTGGGCAGGAAAGTCCTCAAGATTCTTTTCTTTTTTTCTTTTTCTTTTTTTTTGTTGGTCATGGGGCTTGAACTCTGGGCTTGGGCACTGTCCTTGTGCTCTTCAGCTTAAGGTGAGCGCTTTACCGCTTGAGCCATAGCGCCACTTCTGGTTTTCTAGTAGTTTACTGGAGATAAGAGTCTCTCGGACTTTCCTGCTTGGGCTGACTTTGAACCTTGATCCTCAGATCTCAGCCTCCTGAGTAGCTAGGATTACAGGTGTGAGGCACCAGCATCCAGCGAGTCCTTGAGATTCTTATCTCCACCACCAAACAAAGCAAAAGATCCCCGGAAATGGAGGGATAGCTCATCTGAGCAAGAACACTTAAGTTCCAGAAAGCTTGAGTTCAAGCCCCAGCACTGGCACAGACACAGAAAAAGGTGTCTTTACCCTGAGTCACAGGAGATGGTGTCTGGCTGGGGACATGGTGTCCATTCCTTTCTTATTTCTTCCTCAGCTGCAGGCCTGGAAATCCAGTGGGAACAGGACAGTGCTGGTGATCACGCACAGCCTGAACACAATTCAGGAGAAGGACCAGGTTCTGGTGCTGCGGCAGGGGCGGCTGCTGCAGCCTTCCCAGCTCAGGGAGGGCCAGGACCCCTATGCCCGCCTGGCACAGCAGCAGCAGCAGGACTGAGGCCTGCACAGCAGGGCTGTCCCAGGCCCATCACTTGGACCCAGACCCCCATCCAGCACGGCTTCTGTGAACTGCCCTGCGTCCCTGAGGAGTGGTCCCTGGAGCTGGAGGCACGGTGGAGATCTGGATCGTGGGTCCTTTGGGTGGGTTGGTGGGGGAGCGAGTGGGGGATGGGGTGGGGTCTGGCTGTACCGAGATTTGCCCGATGCTGAGTGATCTACTGTAGCATAATAAATGCATTTAAATTGCTTTTTCTTCATGATAATCCTTTCCATATAATGTATGACTGTTTAGAAGGACTCATTCATACAGATGTTTGGAAAGTATAAAAAAAACAAAATGAAGAAAAAGTAAACCTAGCTACCTATTTAGTTACCACGCTGAGCCTTGTCGTTGTCTTGCAAATTCCCTCTCAGTTATGCATCTGTTCACTGAGGCCTCCATTACCCAGCACCTGCTCGTCCTCACAGCTCGCCAGCCCATAGGCGATGTTGTCCCTCACAGAACCCAAGAACAGCGTGGGCTCCTGCCCCACCAAAGCCACCTGTCCAGAGGGGAAGGGCAGAGGGGACGCATGCAGTGCCCACCCCCGGGGGGGCTCCGGTTCTGTCTCCCCCCCCTTCTCTCTGAGTGGACCCTTGTGTTGGTGTTTGTTTTTAGCCCTCCCACTAACATGGATGGCATCCTCTCTAGGTGATGACACCCGCTGTCCTCCGCCCTCCCCTCGCTCCCCACCTACCTGCCTGTGCAGGTAGCAGTGCTCATACTCGGAGATGGGCTCTCCATCCAGCAGCACCTGCCCCCGGGTGGGCTGGTACAGGTTCTGCAGCAGGGCAGCCACGGTGCTCTTCCCAGACCCATTGGGTCCCACCAGCGCTGTCACCTCCCCAGGACGCCCCCCCCTGCCCTTCCTCCCTCATGGGCCCCTCCTCCCCCCAGTACCTCTCCTCCTCTGTGCCCCTCCCTCTTTGCCCCTCCTCCCCCAAGTGCCCTTCCTCTCTATGCCCCTCCCTTCCTCATGCCCTTCCCTCAGGGTCCTTCTTTCCTTCTTCCTTCAGTAACTTGTGTTTTGGGGGAAACTAAGGTGGGGCTGGAAAGACACAGCTCCCTAATTTGCAGTGTTACTAACATCTGATAATAGCTACCTTTAATAGAGGTTTAATATGAATAACCACTACACTAAATGATTTTTCAAATATCTGTGTGTGTATGTATGTGTGCATGTATGTGCACATGTATGCTGGTGCTGGGGCTTAAACTCAGGGCCTGGGCACACTCTCTGAGCTTTTTTGCTCAAGGCTGGTATTCACTACCTGAACCATAACTCCACTTTGAGCTTTTTGGTTATTAGTCGGTGATAAGAGTCTCACAGACATTCCTGCCCTGGCTGGCTTCAAACTGCAATCCTCAGATCTCAGCCTGAGCTGCCCATCACATATGATCATATTTACTGGATCCTAACTCTATGAGAGCGGCTATTGTTTATGGCTGCCATGTTACAAACGAGGTTCAAAGAGATTCAGTGACTTTTCCAAGGCTCCCCAGTGGTAGACTGGGAGTTGCATCCAGGCCTGGCCCTAGAATCCACACCCCCCAGTGGTAGACTGGGAGTTGCATCCAGGCCTGGCCCTAGA